AATACAGGAACTAGTAATTATCATAATGGAAATAAATCTATTATCCTGTACTGAATCAAGTATTACTCTGGGATTAGAGTTTGGACTGTTTTATCTAAAACCACAACAGAAATCATATCTCACTAAGTATTATTGTTAACGTTTTGGTTAGAGCAATTTGATTAATTCATTTTTGATTGCTAAACTTTTTCCAAATTGAGTGAATACTCTTATGATCACGGAATGCATCAACTCCTAACCCATAATCTTTTTTTGGTGTCACAAGAAAAAAGGGACCAGTCAGACAAAGACATTGCAAAAAGTATGGGAGAAAGTACTTTTCACAACTACCAAAGCATCTCCTGTAGGGAATATAGTGATGATCATAAATAAAAGAGATGTTGTATCCTTTTCCCAACTTAAAATGTTGGCAGAACTGGGGCAAAGCAAGAAAGAATAAGGTAGGAACAATTAAATTGACAATTTAATTATTGTATCTCCAAAAACAAACAATAGGTCCTGGTCTACTACTAATGGCCAATATTAGTGCATATGTGTCTGGGTACAAAATAGATCTACACTTTCCAATTATGCAAAAGGTTAACAGTTAGCTGACTACTAGTCTATTGCTATACAAACAAATCCACCACTTTATATTTAAGGCATTGCTATCATGTTCTACAGGGTCCTCAAACCAAAAGCAAAAATATATCTCTCTTCCTAATTAGTTGCTCTGCTTCCTGTATTGCTTATTACTATATATACCAAAATCCATCTATCTACAAGTATGTTTTCAATAGTGACTGTTTAAAAAAATACTATAATACCTATTTCCATTTCTTTCTTTCCTTTGTAAACCAATACATGAAAACTCATATATTCATTTCTGTATGTTTACAATAAATTCTCATATAAATATTCATTTGCATATGTTCATATTTTACATTAAAATGGAGCAGTTTAAGAGATTCCAAAAGAAATGTCAAGTGATGAATGCAGAATATTGTTCTAACTTCATCTTTTCAACAAATGGTATTGGAACAGTTTGATGTCCATTTGCAAAATAATAAAATAAAATTGAACTTCAATCCATACCTTGCACTAAAAATTCAAATTGGATCTCAGATATAAATGTAAAATCCAAAACTGAAAAGCTTGAAAATTAGGCAAAAATTTGCTTATTCCAAAAGCACAATCCAGAAAAGAATAAATTTAAAAACAGACTTGATCAAAACTAGACTTCTATTTTAAAAAAGACACTGTTAAAAGATAAGCCAGCCGGGACCGGTTTGGCTCAATGGATAGAGCGTCGGCTTGGGAACTGAAAGGTCCCAAGTTCGATTCCGGGCAAGGGCATGTACCTTGGTTGCAGGCATATCCCCAGTGGGGGGTGTGCAAGAGGCAGCTGATCGATGACTCTCTCTCATCGATGTTTCTAACTCTCTATCTCTCTCCCTTCCTCTCTGTATAAAATCAATAAAATATATTAAAAAAAAAAAAAAAAAAAGATAAACCAAAGGCTAAGAAAAAAATATTTTCAAATCACATATCTTACAAAGTTGTAACTTGTATAAAGTGTGTGTATGTGTATATTTGTGTTTGTGTCTCAAAATACAGTAAGAAAATGACCCAATTTAAAAAAACAGGCAAAAGCCGAAACCAGTTTGGCTCAGTGGATAGAGCGTTGGTTCGGACTGAAAGGTCCCAGGTTCGATTCCGGTCAAGGGCATGTACCTTGGTTGCGTGCACATGCCCGGTAGAAGTTGTGCAGGGGGCAGCTGGTGGATGTTTCTCTCTCATTGATGTTTCTAGCTTTCTATCCCTCTCCTTTCCTCTCTGTAAAAAATCAATATATTTTAAAATAAAAATAAAATAAATAAATAAATAAATAAATAAACAGGCAAAAGATCTGAACAAACATTTCACCAAGGAAGATATATAGATAGCAAATAAGCACATGGGGGGAAAAAAGCTTAACGTCATTAGTCATTAGGGAAATACAAATTTATAAAACACAATGGATACCACTATATACATAGTAGAATATCTAAAACTAACCAAACCAAGTGTTGGCAAGAATATGGAGGAACTAGAACTTTCATACATGGTTGAAATGTAAAATGGAACAACAGTGTTGCAAAACACACTGGCAGTTTCCTGATATATACATATAAGTACCATATGATCCAGCCACTGCACTCCTAGGTATTTACCCAAAAGAAATGAAAGCATCTGTCCATACAAAGATGAACACAAATGTTTCTAGCAGCTTTATTTTATAAGCCCATACTGTTAATAATCTAAATGTCCATCAACAGGTAAATGGATAAACAAGTTGTGGTATATCCAACAATGAACTACCCAACAATAAAAAGGAATGACATGCCCTGCTGGTGTGGCTCAGAGGCTGAGATGAAAACGAATCATTGATCGCCTGCCTCCTGCATGCCCCCTATTGGGATGGAGCCTGCAACCTGGGTATGTGCCCTGACCAGGAACAGAACCTTGAGCTTCTGGTTCATAGTTCCAGGCTCAACCATTGAGCCACACTAGCTGGCTGTCCTTATCCTAAAGGTTATATTAGCTTCAAAATGTAACTAGGTAACTGCCTCTTTTCCTATTTTCTAACAGTTTATAAAAGACTACAGGCCCAATGCACAAAATTCGTGCAAGAGTAGGCCTTCCTTCCCACTGGCACCCGGGACATGGGCTTCCCCTGAAAGGTCATCCTGGACATCTGGTCTAATTAGCATATTACACTTTTATTATTATAGATAAGAACAATTTGTCTCATAAAGGTTTAGTTGAATTTATAAAACTGTCTGGGCCTAACAGATGCTTGTAGAAGGGAGAATTATATTTTAAATCAGATTTTAACTTTTTTACCAATATTATATATATTCAGGGTTTTAAAATTTGTTTAGACAGTTTTCAGTATATTCTTCTAGAAAATAGCCAATTTCACCTGTTCCTTTGTTATTCTCAAATTTATTGGCAGAAGCCTTAACCCGTTTGGCTCAGTGGATAGAGCGTCGGCCTGTGGACTGAAAGGTCCCAGGTTCCAGTCAAGTGCATGTACCTTGGTTGCAGGCACATCCAGTGGGGGGGTGTGCAGGAGGCAGCTGATTGATGTTTCTCTCTCATCTATATTTCTAACTATCCCTCTCCCATCCTCTCAGTAAAAAAATAAATAAAATATATATTTTTTAAATTTATTTGCACAAAATTCCTCATAAACATTACTCTCTACTATACTTATAGTTACATCCCCATTTTTACATTTTTAATGACATCATTTGTGCCTTCTTTTTCCTCAATATATCTTTTCAGTGGCTCATCATTAGTTTTTTCAAAGAATCGAATTTTTATTTTATTAAGCCCCTCTATTGTTTCTTTGCTTTCTGTCATTAATTTTTATTCTTAGCATTATTTTCTTCTAGTTTCTTTGAGTTGCTTAAGTTAAATATTTAGTTCATTAATTTCAATCTCTCTTTTTACATATATATGCATGCCTATGAGTCCATCTCTTTAATATTATCTTACCTGCATTCAAAAGGTTTGTGATGGGGTTTTTGGTTTGTTTTGGTTTCTGTAGAAGTTTGTTTTCCATGATCAATTATTCTAAGATTCATGAATTATTTTAAAATATTTTTAAGTTTCTAAACATGATAAATGTTTTATCTTTTGATTTGTAGTTATATGCATTGTGGGTTGCATAAATGATTGTACACCATTTGCTGCAATGTGCTTTGTAACTTAATATGTGGTGATATTTCATAAATGTTCTGTGGACTTAAAAATGTATACAGGGTGAAAAAATGTATACAAAATAGGTTTACAGTTATAAGTATATGAAACAGAGTTTATTCTTGTTATTATTTATTAACTATTGATTCTTTTCCATTCAAACAACTATCAACCTACTTCTGCCTTATCTGTGTGACCTAATTATCAGTTGCAGAGTTCTATAAATGTCTATTAGCTCAAGCTTGTTAAGTTTTTTTCAAATCTTCCTTCTTTACTAATAATCTACTTGATATGTTAATTTTCAAGAGGTATATTAAAATATTAAGGCTGTTTATCATTATGTCAATATTTTTCTTTATAGATTTGAAGTTATATTATATATACACACAAATTCATGACATTTACCATTTCCCAGAAATATTTAAATCTTCCTAGTAAATTATCTCATTCCTAGTGAATAAATCTCTTAATCTAATGCTTTTGCCTTACTCTAAGTTTTAAGATTAATATACTAATGGCAGCTTTTTTTTGTTGTTGTTGTTCCTTTTGTTATAATGTTTTAGGTCAATTACTCATAAAGAGCAATATAATTATTTGCTGCCTTTTTAAAAAATCCCATCCTATAGTCTCTATGTTTTCTCTGGTATATTTATATTCCAAGAATTTTCCATGTCTGTTTTCATTTAGATTTTCAAGGAAATCGGAGATTCAATGGGGGTAAATGATATGTAGGTTCACTCTCACATTTCTTCACAAAATAACTAAATATAATCTAAGCAAAGATTATGTCCCTATCCAATCTAAAATCTGCAACACCAATTCAACCAAAAGAACACTGAGGGGTAATCAAATCTAAGAGATTGAACATCTTCATTAAAAAAAAAAAAAAAGACTCGTTTTATTTACTATATGAGTCTACTTGGTTTATCTGTTCATTTAAAACATAGATATGCATATTACAAATTATGACAAGATTCCTCTCATTATTTATTAAAACATCCACTGATTCAGGAAAATCCCTTTACAATGGCATATATCATTCAAAGAGAACAGTGAGTGGTTTCTCCAGGGGCAGAGGATGGGAGTGTGAGGAATTAAACTCTTTCACTTACTATTTTTCGAATATTTGAGGATCATCTAATTTTGTTTTAAAAAGTTATGTATTACGTTAGCAACCAGAAAAATATAATGAAGTTTTTTAAAAGCCACTTTCTATGTTATGCTATTTAAGAAAACAGTTTAATTACAAAACTATTTCAATATATTACTCTTACCAGACTTAAGACCTGAAATTTTGAAGATGGCACTTGGTTTTCCATTCGTGACAAATCCTAGGAGTTGCCACACTGGCATTCCACTGGAATCGGGATAGGAAAAATACACAGATCCTCCCATTCCTTCAGGAAACGGGATTGTCCCCAGCATGAAAACCACAACATGGTTGATATTTTCATAATCAGGCAAGTCAAAGACAAATTTATCTTCAGCCACTTGCTGTGCAACTGTTTGCACCTAAAAAATAAAAAAGTTGTCTTAATTCAATAGTTTGATGAGTTTTTATACTTCTCATAGCAGCAATTTTCAATCTTTTTCATATCATGGCACACATAAACTAATTATTAAGATTCTTTTTTTTTTTAATATATTTTATTGATTTTGTACAGAGAGGAAGGGAGAGAGATAGCGAGTTAGAAACATCGACGAGAGAGAGTCATCGATCAGCTGCCTCTTGCACACCCCCTACTGGAGATGTGCCCGCAACCAAGGTACATGCCCTTGACCGGAATCGAACCCAGGACCCTTGTCCCCAAGCCGACGCTCTATCTATTGAGCCAAACCGGTTTCAGCTAATTATTAAGATTCTGAGGCACACCAAAAAATATATTTTTTGCCAAGCTGACAAAAAAAAAAAATTGCCGAAACAGGTTTGGCTCAGTGGATAGAGCGTCGGCCTACAGACTGAAAGGTCCTAGGTTCGATTCTAGTTAAGGGCATGCACAGTGGTTGTGGGCACATCATCCCCGGTAGGGGTTGTGCAGGAGGCAGCTGATCGTTGTTTCTACGATCTATCCCTCTCTCTTCCTCTCTGTAAAAAATCAATAAAACATATTATCCCTCTCTCTTCCTCTCTGTAAAAAATCAATAAAACATATTTAAAAAAATAGGTAGAATTTCTATTCATTCACACTGGACAGCTATTGTCATTTTTTAAATTTTATTTGACAATCTAAGGGAACAGTGCCTCTGCCTAAATAGTCAGGTACTGTATGTTTTAAAAATTCTTGTGGCACACCAATTGAAAGTTGTTGCCTTCTAGTTTTACTATAAGCTATTACCAAATACAGTCGATTACAGTCAAGTATAACATTGGGTTAATCTGCCGGAACCGGTTTGGCTCAGTGGATGGAGTGTCAGCCTGTGGACTGAAGAGTCCTGGGTTCAATTCCTGTCAGGGGCATATGCCTTGGTTGCGGGCACATCCCCAGTAGGGGTTGTGCAAGAGGCACTGATTGATGGTTCTCTCTCATCGATGTTTCTGGCTCTCTATCCCTCTTTCTTCCTCTCTGTAAAAAAATAAATAAAATATATATTTAAAAAGTTGGGTTAATCTGACTCTAATTATAGAATTACCAAATATATTAGATAGAATGCTAATATTAATAGTGAATTTTAGTAAAATATGGGGTGTAAAATTTGGCAAAGGGAAATATTCTATATAATAAAAGGCTAATATGCAAATAGACCAAACGGCAAAACAACCAGTTGCTGTGATATGCTCAACGCAGGAGCTACCCGAGGTGGTCAGTGAGCTTCCAAAGGGGAAGTGCTGCTTGGCCAGAAGCCAGGCTCACAGCTGACAAGCGCAGTAGTGGTGGTGGGAGCCTCTCCTGCCTCCACGGCAGGCAGACATTCCCTAAGAGGTCCTAGACTGCGAGAGGGCTCAGGCAGGCTGAGGGACCATTCCCCAAGTGCACGAATGTTGTGCACCGGGCCTCTGGTAGTCAATAATATGTAAATTAACAATATATGGTGTCACTATATTATACACCTTAAACTAATATAATACTGTATGTTAACTCTAATTGCAAACTTAGAAATATTTTGGAAAAAAATAATTCAAAAATACTTAACCTTATAATGATTTCACTAATGTAATATTTTAAAAATATAATTTCAGAAGACCCCTGAAAGGATTTTACTTACAAAAATAAATCACTATCACTTCAAAATGTTATAAAAATGAAAAGTTATTCAAAACACACCACCAAACCTTGATCTTCTTATTTGAAGGTAAAGAACCTCAGGTAATTAGTCCTGGCTAATCCAGTTGGTTAGAGCATCATCCGGATATGCTAAGGTTGCAGGTTCAATCCGTGGTCAGGGCACACGCAAAGATCAACTAATAAATATATAAATAAGTGGAACAGCAAATCAATATTTTTCTCTCCCTTCCTCTCTCGCTAAAATAAATAAGTAAACTTTTAAAAAGAACTTTGGGTAATTAAAATAGGCAAGCAATTTGGAAGTATTTAGTCACTCCTCATTATTTGCAGATTCCATATTTGCTAATTTGTCTACTCACTAAAACATATTTATAACCCCCAAGTGATTATTCCTTGCACTTTCAAGGCAGCAAAACATTTGAGCTGCCTGATGCACATGTTCCGAGCTGCAGAACAAAGCTAGTGTCTCTCATATCCTTGTGCCTTCTGGTTTTGGCTCTCATACTGTAAACAACTGTCCTTTTCACAGTATATTTAGTGTCGTGTTTATTGTTGGTGATTTGACTGTTTATTTTAAAAAATTATTTAATATGAGAGAGACACCTCAATTTGTTATTCCAATTTTATGCATCCCTTGGTTGATTCTTGTATGTTCCCTGGCTGGAGATCTAACCCACAACCTTGGCATACTGGAAAGACACTAACCAACTTAGCTACCCACCCAGGGTAGCCAGGGCTAAGGTGACTTGGCTGCTGAAAATGGCCAAACTGAAAGAGTGTTCCTAACCCAAGAAGACTGTCAGGTGTCTTACTGAGAAAATAGGTATTACACAATTTCATTCTGCCGTGAGTTATAGTGCTCCTGAGTCAGTCCAATGTTAATGAATCAGTACATATTAAATTAGGTGACTTTAAACAGAAATACACATAAAACAAATAGATAAAATTATGATCAGACCCTTATAGGAACCTAACCCTGCATTTCTCCTAGGGGCAATAATTCAATACTTACCAATTCAGTGTTTACTCCAAATAATGAGAGACTAAATAAATAAAATGTAAAAATTCTACCTTGAATGTACTAGGTGGGAACTTTTAAAAGTTTTGACTCATCTGATCATCTAATTTTCTTTTCTAGAACTGAACAGGAATTTACAGAATGAGATCTTATTTTGAAGTCTAGAAGTGTTTCACAAAGAATATTCATTTTACAAAATGTTGTATTTTTTAATCCTCACTCAATGGTATGTTTTTATTTCTTATTAATTTTAGAGAGAGAAGAAATGAGAGATAGTCAGACAGAATTAAATGTGAGAGGGAAACACTGTTGGATTGCCTCCTCCACACCCAACTGGAAATTCAAACCTGCAACCTAGGTATATGGCCTGACCAGGAATCAAACCTGCAACCTTTTGGTGTATGGGAAAACCTTCCAACGAAATGCACCACCCGGCCATAGCTTTACAAAATTTTCAGAAAATTACATAATAACTTCCTATACCACATCCATTAGCAAAAAGAAGGATAAATTTTGCACAAACTCGTCAAATGGCTGAAGAGTTTACCTTCTGTAAGGTTTTCGGTTTATAATTGGTATTGCCTTCCTATTCACCAACCACAAAATCTGAAATATATATATATATATATATATATATATATATATATATATATATATACACACACACACACACACACACACACACACACACACACACCCCAGAGGCCCAAAGCACGAAATTTGAGCGAGAGTAGGCCTTTCTTCCCATGGCTGCCAGCACAGCTTCCCTCTGGCACCCGGGCTTCCCTCCAGCCACTGGCAGGCACCAGGGACCTAGGCTTTCCCCACAGCCCCAGCTTAGTCCAGAAGGACATCTGGTCTAATTAGAATATTACGCTTTTATTATTATAGATATATAGGTATATATAAATGTGTGTGTGGGTTTTTTGTTTGTTTGTTTGTTTGTTTTTTAAGAAAGAGCCTAGCAGGTTTGGCTCAGTGGATAAAGTGTCAGCCTGCAGACCATCGGATCAGGGTTCAATTCCAGTCAAGGGCCTGTATCTTGGTTCCAGGCTCCTCCTTGGGCCCTTCCCTGGTCAGGCTCTTGCAGGAGGCAACCAATCAATGTGTTTTTTCATATTAATGTTTCTCTCTGTCTTTCCCTATCTCTTCCATTCTCCCTAAAAATCAATGGAAAAATATCCTCGGGTGAGGATTAAAGAAAGAAAGAGCACTAGCTGGTTTGGTTCAGTGGATAGTGTCAGCGCACAGACTGAAGGGTCCTGGGTTCCATTCCGATCGAGGGCATGTATCTGGATTACAGGCTTGATCTCCAACCCCAGATGATGCATATTTGGGAGACAACTAACCAATGTGTCTCTCACATCTATGTTTCTCCCTGTCCCTCCCTCTTCTTTCCACTCTCTCTAAAATCAACGGAAAATATAAAACAAGTCAATAACAAAAAAACCAAAGAAAGAAAACACTCATTTTTTTCCCAAAGTCACTCATTGATGACACTTTTCATCTGAGTCCAACACTCATCCCAGGCTAGGCCTTTCAATTTTTTTTTTATCAAGAGCTAGGATAATCCAAAGTTATCTTATCAATATTACCCATTTATCACCATCACCAAAAGAGGCCTCCCAATCACTCAAGAGACAGACAAAAAACAAACAAACAAAAACTTGCTCAGGCCAGTCATCTCCAATTTATCTTTGTGATTCCTTAGAACTGTGTACATAATACAATACATTATTACCAAAGATTAAGGAAAATGTAACATTCAACTAAGGGGCTGCAACACAACAAATCAGGGGGGGGGGGGGAGGGAGGTAAAGAAAAAGAACTCCAAGTAAAAGGAGTTAGGTCTGAAATTAACCTCTTCGGTGGTTTCTAAGGAGGCAAGCAGCACACACCTTCCAGATGATTCCTGAACAATTCCAGGATCTGGTCTCCTTTAATTCTAATCTCCCCGCGAGGGAGGTTATTGTCTCCTCTGACCAATAAGGGAACCGCTCACATCTTCCCAGGGTCAGTTCAGATTTGGCTCCCTCTTAAACTTCTGGCGTTCCCATCAGCCAACTTACAATCCCAAAGGGACCCCGCCGCTAAACATGCTCCGAGCACCTTAAATCTTCTTCTTCTTCTTTTTTTTTTTTTTTTTTGGAAATTTAATGAAGAACAAGTACAGGCTCCCATGTAGAGAGGAGGAAGACTCCCACATGGGGAGGGGGAAAAAGGGCCCCCTAGCACCTTAATCTTTGGTAAACAGCGCGCTGTAGGCTGGATTCAAATGCCAAACTCAATCGCACTCACTCCATGAGCGATCCTGCCCACCGAGCTTCAGTTCCTCAACTGCAAAAAGCACCGGAGCACGGGAACCATCTCACAAGCTGCGAGGGTTTCTAAGTTGGGAGTTGCCAAGTAAGCGCCGGACAGAAGGCTAACATGACAGAAATGGACCAGAGGCGCGCACTCATTCCCCGGCGTGTAATGCACATTCCGTAAAAGGCAGCGGGACTACTCCTTCTGCGGACGGATCCGGGGCAAAACAGGACGGACACCCAAACGCCCTCGTCTCCATTCCACACCCCCAGCCAGAAAGTAGGCAGGAGGGGTTTTCCCACCCGCAGCCCTCGAACCCGAGCACCTCCCCTTCCCAGGGCTTCCCCCCGCCCTCCCCCACTCCGCCTTGCCGGATCCCACGCGGCCCCATCCTCACCAGCCTCCCCGCCACCAAGCAGCCAAACATGGCGGTGGCGGCGGCTCCGCTCAGCCACGGGGGCCCAGGCTGGCGACTAGACGTCCTGGGGCCGCGACACCCGGGGAGCCCAGGCACCTTCCAGAACGAGCGGGAGGATTCAAGCCCCGCCGCTACATAGCGCCTGTGCCGGCGGCGGGAACGCCTCCTGCCCCGCGACCTCTGACCCACCCTCCCCGCCCAATCAGCCCGCCTCTCAGGAGACAAGTACTTCCGGGGCGTACACCCACCCGCCCCAATGAGTAGAAAGAAAGGCGATCGGAGCCAGGGCGAGACTACAAGTCCCAGAGGACCCTGCGCGGGCTTCCGGGAAGGGTCCTAGGAGTTTTTACCTGCAGGGATTGACGGTGCGGATCCAAATTTGGGAATCCAAGGCCGAGAGCTGTTTCCCCCGCGGTGCGCTTTTACGCTCATTCCTTTTCTAGGTCCTTAACAAAAACCCGGTGAGGTAAGCATTTTTTATCTCCCCTTTGTAAGCGAGGACATTGCCCAGAGTCACCAGCCCCAAATCTTGACACAGCACTAAGTACTGTATTGGAGTCTGAATCCAAGTCCTGAACCAAATAGGGGTTCTTTGGGCTACACTTAGCTCAGTGCTAATTTTTAACCAGCTATTTTGTACTTATTGACAATTTTTTTTTTATATACAACTTTTTTTGTAGTTATTTCCAGCTTCACCTAGCTCTCCCACTTATTTGCTGTAAAACTGAAATTATATTTGGGCTTTAATGTCTCCCATTTATAAAATATCTAGAGACCCGGTGCATGGATTCATGCACAGGTGGAATCTGCTGCCCCCTAGTCAAACTCCTAGTGGAGGGGACAGTTTGCATATTAGCCTTTTATGATATAGGATAATTGCATCTCTCCTGGGGTTGCTGTAAGGATTAAGTAAATACATATACAAAACGCTTAAAATAGATGCTGGCAGTGCTTAATTAATGGGAGTTTTATAGTAAAATGTATTTTTTTCTACACCTATTTTCAGAAAAGGTTCATAGGAAATTAAAAAAATAATAGCACAAACAACTGGCATCAAGTGCTAATTGCCGTCATTATTCATTCTACCCAAATAGAAGAATAGAACAGACTGAGAAATCTCAGAGGGAAAGTTGGGGAGAGTAGGTGGGTGAAAAGAGATCAACCAAAGAACCTGTATGCATATATGCATAACCCATGGACACAGACAGTAGGGTGGTGAAGGCCTGAAGTGGGGGCGGGCTAGAAGAAGTTATTATACTAGGCGGAGAGAGGGGACATATGTAACACTTTGTACAATAAAGATTTTTTTTAAGATTATGTTTCTGGGAGAGGTTGAAACTGCAATTAATAGGGGGTGGGGGGAGGAAAGAAAATAAACTGCAACTAGATTATCAGAGGAAGTTCTGAGGTCAGGGTCAAGCAAATGTTTCCTGCAAAGATCAGAGAGTAGTTTAGGGTTTTTAGATCACGAGGTCTGTGTCAGGTCATACCCTTGTAACACCAAGAACTGTGGCATCAACCAGACATGGAGCGTACTCTACCTCTGTACTTCTTGTTATGCAAGATAAAATATATATTCCTTTATTGGGTAAGCCAATAGCTGGATTTGTTACTTACAGATGAAGATATGGATTTGTTACTTACAGATGAAGATATGATTAACAAGCCCCATAATGAAAATATAAGCTCCAAGAGGACAGGAAACTTAGGGAGTACATAAATAAAAGAATAAGTAAAGAAGTGGGTGTGGCTATGTTCCAAAAACTTCATTAACAGCTGGACAGGTCTGGCTTAGCCCTACTTTAGGCAGTGGTTTCCAAACTTTTAAGGTTCTTCAGGATCAACTGTAGCACATGTTAAAACACTGGTGGGTAGCCCTCACCTGAGTCTCTGATTCAGTACATCAGGCCTAAGAATTTTAATTCTAAGAAGTTAGGATTATCAGCCCTAACTGGTTTGGCTCAGTGGAAAGACGGTCGGCCTATGGACTAAAGGGTCTCCGATTTGATTCCATTTGAGGGTATGTACCTTGGTTGTGGGCGCATCTCCAGTGGGGAGTGTGCAGGAGGCAGCTGATCGAAGTTTCTGTCTCATAGATGTTTCTAGCTTTCTATCCCTCTCCCCTCCTCTCTGTAAAAAAAAAAAAAAAAAAAAAAATATATATATATATATATATATATATATATATATATATATATATATAATCTGAACACTCAGTCGGTATATGTGAACATGCTCCTACTTCATTCACAAAAGGTTTTTTGCCTAAATTAGATACTTTAAAAATGCATTACTTTCCAACAATTATTTATTTATTATACCCCTATGATGTGTGAGCTGTTTTCTAAACTCCAGAGATAAAGCAAGTTCAAACCTCAACCCTGTCCCTTACGACACAGGACAAGTTATTTTAAAACTTTGATCCTCAAAAACAAACAAAAAGCCTTTAGTCCTCAGATTCCTCATCTGTAAAATGGTATAACTTGTACTTCCTGGGGTTGTTTGATAATAAATAAAATAACGGCTCTTTCTCCGCCATCAAGGTGCGTGCTTCGCCTCTCCTTCACCATGTCTTCCCACAAGACTTTCAGGATCAAGAGGTTCCTGGCCAAGAAACAAAAGCAGAATCGGCCCATTCCCCAGTGGATTCGGATGAAAACTGGTAATAAAATCAGGTACAACTCGAAGAGGAGACATTGGAGAAGAACCAAACTGGGCCTATGAGAACTCACTCATGACAGATGACTCACATATTTATGCTGTATCCAGGTTGCCTACACCTTTAAATGATTGAAAAGATGCTATCTGGACAGTTGGAGCATTTTAATTGGAGAATTAATGGACTTGTGATTTTACTGTTGATTTTTTTTCCCCTCCTGCAATTGGATGGTTCAGAAATAAATGTGTGAGATCTTTTAAAAAATAAAATAAAGTAACATATAAGGAGCTTAGCACAGTACTGGTACATGGTAGGGAGTAAAACAGTACTTAAGTATAGTTACTACTATTGAAAATTCAATGGTTCTCAAAGTGTGGTCCCTGGGCCAACAGCACCAAGGGACCTATGATCTTGTTAAAATGCAAAGTCTCTGGCCCCACCCCAAACCTACTGAAACGGAGCAATGTGTGATTTAACGAGCCCTCCTGGTGATTCTAGTACATGTTCAAATGTGGAAACAGTGCTAAAGAAAATATAAAAGCTAGGCTGTGTGTGCTAGGGGCTAAGGCTTTCAAGGCCAATAAGGTACAAATCTTCTATTTTCCCTGGACAGTTCTTCATAGGGAATAGGCCTAAGGGTGTTCACCTCTATAAACACACATGTGCACAACCTATACTGCCTGAAATTCATTAGACATTCAAAATATATTTTTCATTTTTTTATTAAGGTATTATATGTGTACATATCTTACCATTGCCCCTTCCTCCCCCACCCAGAGTTTTGCGTCCATTGGTTATGCTTATATGCATGCATAGAAGTCCTTCGGTTGATCTTTTATCTCCCCACATCTCCCTAACCTCCCGCTATAATTTGACAGTCTGTTTGATGCTTTACTGTCCCTGTATCTTTTTGTTCATCAGTTTATAATGTTCTTTATTATCCATAAATGAGTGAGATCATGTGGTATTTTTCTTTCATTGACTGGCTTATTTCACTTAGCATAATGTTCTCCAATTCCATCCAGGTTGCTGCAAATGGTAAGAATTCTTTCTTTTATATGGCAGCATAGTAGTCCATTGTGTAGATGTACCATAGTTTTCTGATCCAATCATCTGAAAACTGATGATTTTTTGCTCATTTTGCTCCTTCAATATTTCACTGAATGCCTACTATGAACCAGTGTGTTAAACAGTGAAATTCAAAAACTAAGGAAAGGCTTCCAAAGCCTTGAGTCTGGCACTGATTTTCTGGCTTAGGAAATCACAACAGTGCATTCAACTCAGTGAGGTGCTGAAATGAGCAGGCTCACCCAAAGATATTCTGATGGGAAGTGGAAGATGGCAAGGCAGTAACTCACAAAGGTGGAAACCCTTTCCAGAGGACACACATTTAACTGAGCCCCTACGATGTGCCTACAGAGAGCAGCCTGACTACCTGGAAGCCTCGGCCCCAGAGGCAGCCTGGCAGGAGCTAGTCCCAAGGCCACCAGAAGGAAAGAGAACGAGCATCAGCCAGTGAGGGGCCCTGGCCAGGAAGAGAGACCTCAGTCTGTGTGGGACCTTGAACAGTCTGTTTGCAGCTCTCTCTCGTATACCCTGGTCTTGGTTGTGGCTTAGCAGACTAGAGAGCAAAGCCTTAGAAAGGAGCCCTGGCAGGAAGCTAAATCAGATATGGGACCTGGGACGGAAACGATGCTAAATCCCAGGCACAGAGGTGATTCGACAAACTGTAGAACTATTAACAATCCTCCACCATTCCCTCCAGTACCCTTGAACGTGAGTTTGAGAGGCACTAGTTAACCACAGTGAGAAAGTTTCAAATGAGCTGGGCTAAGATGAACTTAGTCTGTCTATTGAGATCATCTGGGCAAACTTAAAAACAAAACTGAGTTTCGATCTCTGAATCAGGTTGGGACTCAGAAATCTGTCTTATGCTCCCTAAATGATCCTTTTTCCACAGACCAGCCTTTGGGACCATTGCATGGCACAGGTTCACACAGGGACCTAAGAAATGCAATGCTTTGCACATCTGGTCAATGAAATTATAAATGATTCTCTTGACTACTAGAAGATAACATTTTTTTAATTGATTTTTTACAGAGAGGAAGGGAGAGGGATAGAGATCTAGAAACATCGATGGGAGAGAAACATCGACAGCTGCCTCTTGCACACCCTCTACTAGGGATATGCCCGCAACCAATGTACATGCCCTTGACCGGAATCGAACCTGGGATCTTTCAGTCTGCAGATAGATGCTCTATCTACTAAGCCAAACCGGTTTTGGCTAGAAGATAACATTTTAAGGCACAAATAAATTATTATTTTGGAGCACCCTTCACTAAAGGTTTTG